AAGTAATGCTGGTAATTCAAAATAGATTCCATGACAAAATTATAATCTGAAACCCTGACGAGTTGTGTGGAATACTATTGTATTAAACGCTTCGGGTTAATTAAACCCCAATAGAATCTCTCTAACCCCTCTAATAGTGTGTTCAACCCCACCAAAATTTCACTTCACCTCTCCTATTTTGTGTGAAAGACTTTAACCCAAACGCCTAACCCCTGCCGAAGCTCACTGAGTGGTGCTGCTTGCACCCCACCAGAAATTTTGCTACCCCTCCTTTTAAATCAATGATATCTGCCTTGATAAAAATGCAACTACAGCATAATAATAAGATCTCCCTAGCAATCAAATCTAAAACACTCACTAGCTTACGAAAATTTCCTATAGGAATTCCTATAGGAAATCAAAATTCCTATAGGAATTCCTATAGGAATTGAAAATTCCTATAGGAATTCCTATATGAATTGAAAATTCCTATAGGAATTCCTATAGGAATTAAAAATGGTCAAAAAATTTCCTATAGGAATTCCTATAGGCATTGAAAATTCCTATAGGAATTCCTATAGGAATTAAAATTTCCTATAGGAATTACAATAGGCATTGAAAATTCCTATAGGAATTCCTATAGGAATTGAAATTTCCTATAGGAATTCCTTTTGGCATTGAAAATTCCTATAGGAATTCCTATAGGAATTGAAAATGGTGAAAAAATTCCTATAGGAAAAAATATTCCTATAGGATTGGAAAATGGCTATAGGAATTCCTATAGGAAATGAAAATTCCTATAGGATTTGAAATTTAGGAATTCTTATAGGATTGGAAAATGGTGGGAAAAATTCATAGCCTATACCACTATGGCCTGATACATGCATGGGTATAAGAACTTTACTTATATAAAAAATTATACAGATAAATATAATTTACGAAATAACTCCTTCCTACAGGAATTTCTATTTCTTATCGGAATTTTTTCACCATTATCATATCCTATAAGAATTCTTATAGGAATTTTAATTTCTTATACAACTACACTATTCCTATATCGTATTTTACTCATAGACATTTATTAATAGAGAATTTAATACTGGGACTATTTATTTTCTAAGATTAAATGAATAATTACCGCAATGTGCGCGACTGACAGACTGGTGTCTAGTTTTCTTGCCACGCGCGCAAAGCATCAAGGGATAGATCATCACACCTCCGATATTTTTCAAGTCGGTGTTTGTCAATGGTTTATGTGCAAAATAGAACTATTTTTGATGGGATTCAACTGGATTTTCACTAGTAATACATCAGGGATGTTTGCATAATGTTCAGGTAAGAATAAGTTTATATTTTATTTATAATAAAGCAAATTATAAAGGAAATACCTCCAATCTTCTTTTGCGAAATTCGAGCATGTGGTTCGATAAAATTTGAATTTGCCGCGATTATATAAACGGAATTAGAATGCTGATATAAATATATTTATAGCGTTTATACTTCAACAAATGCTACTATAAAAGTTTTATATTTGAATCAGACTTATCCATGTTTATTAATATATTTGTATATCCCAAGTGCCAACTGTATATGCCAGATTAAACATTGTAAATTGTCAGCCATATTTAATGCATGCCTATAGAAAATTTAACTACTTGCTCAAATCAGCAGCAGTATTTATTCATATGTTTTGTTTAAATTAAACAATTTTCATTTTGAGAGGTCTTCAGCACTTTTTTATTTTACCTTGTCTAACACCAGATCATTTTACTTGAAAGAGAGTGGACAACTTTGATAGGTTACCTTGCTGTCTCCCTGTGTTTTGTGTAAACTCATTAAGACCCAATTCACAAATTCACACTAATGTGCTCTATTTCAAAGCTCAACATTTTGCCCTGTTAATACCAGACTATTTTGCATTATTTGGCGTTAGCACATTTAGATGTAATTCACCCTAAAGCCTAGTTTCCATTTGGTCGTTAGTTGTCGCTGGCACGACAAGCGGTAGATGTGAAATAGTCTAATATAATAATAGTCTGTTTGTGTGATATGCAAATCAGTCTTAATGATTGCAGAGTTTTTTGTTGACACTCTATTACATCAGCCACTTGTCGTGCCAGCGACAACTAACGACCAAATGGAAACTAGGCTTAACACTCAATCCCCACTTTCAGTACTTTGATATTTATCAGATGATTTTACTAATCAAAACGAATGTTGGTCATTGAAAGGACAAATATAAACAACATGGGAAAGTGTTGCAAAGTACAGAAAAGCAAACAAGAACAAGAACTTATTTGAGGACTATGTTTTGAGGCCAGTTTTAAACTTAACTTTAAATGTCAATTATGGTTATTACCTATGGTTTAGCCCATTAAGTGCCAGCGCTCTGACGAGTAAAATCGTCTGGCATTAGACAGAGTAAACTATAGTAAAATAATAAAGTAAGGTGCATCAGGGCGCAATGTGATTCAATTGGTTAACTAGACACATATATAGGAATATAGGCTAGTTAACCCATTCGGAGCCAGCATTTCTGCTTGACATTCAAGTACAATTGTCTGGAGTTAGACAGAGTAAAATAGTCTGGCATTAGACAAAGTAAAATAGTTAGACAGAGTAAAATAATAAAGTAGGATGCATCATATGGCATTGCATTGAGGTAGAACGATTAATTTGGCACAATAGGTGAAAACTATAATTGATTTGTAATGTTTAGTATAACCAATTTCTCATATTAATTTTTATATTTGCAATATTAATTAGTATTTATTAATATTTATATCTATTTTTTGCATTAAAAAATTAAGAGTGATGAACAACATTGTCTGTCATTTACTATTATTTCATCTAGATTCTAGAATTTCTGCAGGAATACCAAAAATCTTATAGGAAATTAGAATAAATTATTTTCTTATAGGAAATTCCTATAATAATTTGGGACTAGACTTGAGAATTCTTATAGGAATTCTTCCTATTAAATTCTTATAGGAATTCCTGTAGAAAAAATTCCTATAGGAATTTTTCCTATAGGAATTCCTATTGGAAAAATTCCTATAGGAAAAATTCCTATAAGAATTTGGGACAAAATTCCTATAGGAATTTTTCCTATAGGAATTTTTCCTATAGGAATTCCTATAGGAATTTTGTCCCAAATTCTTATAGGAATTTTTCCTATAGGAATTCCTGTAATTCTGACCAGCGAGGAACAGAGCTGTTTGTACATGACCTGGCCACGATTTAGTTCATGTATATAACCATGGTGTTATTCTGTGGAACTACCGTAAAGCCCTGGGCAAACTAGGGAACATTGTTGCGGAAACATTGTTTCCTACCAATGTTTCGCCATGTTTCCAAGAGTGGGCAAACACTAGGAAACATTAGTGAGAAACATAGGGAAACCTCAAATGTTTCTGAATTCGCTAGGAAACATTTTTGCTTCTCGGAAGCAAATTTTGTTTCCGCAACAATGTTTCCATGGGTGGGCAAACAGGGAAACATTTGAGGAAACATCACAAATCACAAATGTTCCGGCAACAATGTTTCATAGTTTGCTCAGGGCATATTACTTATTTTAATTTAGCTGTTACAATGCTTACTTCATATCTTCAATTTCGTTGTCTTTCGGGGCAAGATAACTTCCAACCTGAAATAAAAGGTCATCTCAGCATTTCAGTTTTTAATGTGATGCACATGAATGGCACACAATTTCAAAGAAACGTGTTGCATATTAATAGAAGATGCATTTCATTGCTAAGACCTTTAACCCATTGACTTGCACTGCACCCTTATTTGCCCTACTTTCGTATTCATCAAGAGGAGAGTGGTGGCACTCAAAATAGGTTAACCACTTAACTTGTCAAGGAGAAAGTGTCGGGAACTCTGTTTAACATTACAAAATATTATTAAGAAAGTTCGTTGCACAGTCAATGATTAATTATAAACAATTAGTAATAATCACCTCTCTTGTGCTGTCGGGCGATGAACTCATTTTTCTATTACCTGAAAACGGTGAACATGGTATTTATTTATTTATGTTAAACAAGTTCTTACGTAAATATATACACCTATACAAATAGAAAATATATAATACATGTAGCATTGTGGTACTAACCATTTGGATTTGTCAAGTTATGGTAAATAGATGAGTCTGAACTGGTCCTAAAAAAATATGTGACAAATTTAAGGACGTCCTAATTTGAAAAGTTTGTTACACTTATTTTACAGCCTGATGTAGAGGTTATGCATAGATCTGGACATTGTTTTGGGATTATAACATATTGCAAAAGTTGCTTTGCAATTTTGTTAAGCCTGCAGTTACTGGCTGTGCCAGCCATAGACTGAGCTTGCAACAGTTTCATCAGAAGATCTCCAAAAATAAAATCCCCAAGCATGATGCTTCAATGTAATGACAGAAACTCTCCTCACTTATGCACTGAAATATTTCTGTGGGTATTTACCACAACAATAACAAATTTAAAAATTGATAACCAAAATGAGATGACATCGACAGAAGGCTTCTGTACGTCCCTCTATCACAGCGTTCACTGTAGATTCTAGCTTCAAAAGCATGCAGAGTTTTCATTAAATGTATTGTTAGCGCAAGAAGCCCAAGGCATCGCAATCCTTGCTGTTTGCTTTGAATAAATAGAACAGCTGACAGGAAGTAACAATGTAATCTAGCATGATAATACATGATACAGTGGTTCTATTATGAAATATCCATAATACAAATATATAAATAAAATTTATGCTTGTCAGCTTGCATTATAAACAAGTGAAATTTGAGCAACTTTTAGAAACTATCAATTGTGCTACTATATTTGTATAGTACAAAAATGTACACATTTTGATCATGCACAAAACACAACACATGTGAGCTTGTGGTCAGGATTCTACACTCGTGTCACTTTAAAAACAACGATTTCGAATCAAAACGTAACGTATATAAACATAGAACAGCATGGCTTTGAGTTTAAAACGCATTAACGAATTCTTTCGTGACATCAATAATGAATAACTGGCACTCTTGCAAAATCGAAAATACTTGAACACACGATGAAATGCGTGCTTCTGTTGATTTTTCACAAAAATTCAAAATTGATTAACACCTCTGCATTTAGCTGGCTTACAAAGTTCTAATTTTTACATTCATAGAACACAAACATTCTTTTGTAGCAAATTTTCCGGCGGACAAAATTAATCTTTACGTTATCATATAGTATTTTATACAGCGATTACAAAGCTAGCTGAATGAACACAAGCTAAAATTACTCGTGTTCTCGAAAGCTACGTGTAATTCCGGAAAAATTAACCGTACAATACAAATATACAAGGTTTTGTTTAAAATTCTAGCAAGTAATTGCAACAAACCTTCGCCAGTTCGCTTCCATTTGTGGGGGTGATAAATACGGGCTGAAATGGTGGTACGGTGCTGTCGTATCCATGTGGGGAACGTCAAGAAAAACAAAATGAACATTGACATAACACTGACCAGAATGAGCTACTATGGCAAGGGGGTGACTAGGTTAAATATTTCAAACTTTACTTAGCGTGACGATCGTTAATAAATGGTGTAGAAGCTTGCACGAAAGCTTTCGTTTGCCACCAATTCTAAGTACACAGCTTTGTACTTTGGGCTGAGTACTCGTATTCAAGTTAATCCTTTGGGTATCTTTACCTAAACGCTGACGTTTTACAAACGATCCTTAGCCTATCCACTTGCCGTTTTTCTGTAGTAATTATTAGTAATGAATATTACGGGCAAAGCAATGTTTAATTTTAATACCACACAAAAGTCATGAATGACTGCCCTCAAGCCCAACATACTCGGTATTAACGTTGCGTGTCATGGACCAACATAAAGTGAATTCGTCTATAGTAGACGTTACGTGAAAAGGATATATTATGCCGCCTGTTTGTTGTCATAAGTCGATTCCTCGGATGGTATGGCCTATCTTTTAAAGGCGGCTGGATGTCCATGTTTTGCCTCACCGTCATATCATTGAGACTCTCCTGCAAGACAAATTATACGGCACGAGATCAACATATAGTTCATATATTTCCATTCACAAATAAACACACGACTGTCGTACTTACGTGCCGAGCGCTTTGGCTTTGGGCTAAGTTAAAATCGGGCAGAGAACCACCGTATCTGCCGCGAGTCTGTCGTTGGTTATGCGCCTTCGCCTATTAAAAGATAACAACAGAACATTCGCTCGAAATTAAGCCTGTTTTGGCGGGCATAATTCGCACAAAAACCCCACTCACATTCACAAAGGACATTTCCTCCATGATCTTCTCAAACTCCTTCGTCTCCTGAGCCTGTCTCAGCTTGTGCTGAGCGATCTTTTCCTCGAATTTCCGAGGATTATTCGCAGCCATTTTGAAAACACTTCGCTCTATACTTCAGCACTTCTTTCGCAGTAATGGCAACATTGCAAAGCCCAGGCGCGCCGGGGGGTCTGGCACGAACCAATCAGGGGCGCGCATTATGGAAGAGTAATTCGGAAAAAATGTTCGACAAAATATGTCACCTTTGCGATTTATTAGTGTAAATTGTTTTGGATTCGATTCATTTATTTGTCTATTACAAAGTTATCGGCAAAGAAAATATTAGCATTGAAGCTTGAAAAAGTGCTTTACTGTATTTAATATACGAATTATTTTGCGTTTTTTAACACAACTTTTCAAGATCAATTAATTGATACATTTTACAAGTGTTCGAAATTCTAATCAACAGTTCTCGAACAGTTTATTTGCAACATTTAGGCAATTCGAATTGTGTACGCAATTGTGTTTATACGTTGTTTATTACAAACAGTATCAACGTTAAACAACAATAAATTTCCTCCTGAAAACAACTGTTTTCATGATTAAAATAATCGGACCACATTAATCATGACTCATGTTATTTGACATAACATGCAATTCAAATATTTTATTATTGAATAATGAATGTGGCATATCATTTCTCGCAAACTTCGATATATACTGGCAACTTAGAGGAATCACTAAATTGTTTATTTAATTTACTTTTAATAGTAAACGTTTATAAAATTAAACATCATTTTTAATTGTAGTTTGAACAAAAATTGAGGAAATTTTTCCGCTTTCCGACTATAGAAATACATCGACGTATTTTCCTTATTAAAAACATTTATCTAATTATCACAAGTGGATTTATGTGGCTGTTAAAATAGGCATCAGACGTCAATTTTTTTTTATCAGTACAATCAAAATTTCCAGTCAGAGTATGTGATTGATTTGAACTGAAACTCCATCAGTACTACACTAATATCAGACGAAGTCAACTAAAAGGTCCGATATCTTTCGTGTTTTTTGAATGATTATACAGTTTTACTGTACGAAGACTTAATTTACACAACAATTGAAGATTCAGTCCCCCCGTCTACGTAAAACAATAAATCTTTATGAATTATATAAACAGTTGTAAGACTGCTGTGTTTGTACGTGTCTTAACTAAATGGAAGACATTGATATTAATCTTGTTCGAGGTACTTCAGACACAAACCACGACAGCATATTGTAGAATAGGTCAGAGTACTACCTACAACTGGACCACCACGTTTGGTATATCTTTTTCAGGTAGTTCAGACACAAACCATGACAGCTTATTGTAGAATATATATATACTACCTACACTGGACCACCACGTTTGAGATATCATTTTCAGGTAGTTCAGACACAAACCACGACAGCTTATTGTAGAATACTACCTATACTGGACCACCACATAGTAGTTCAGACACAAAACAGTGCAGGTAGTATTCTACAATAAGCTTCCGTGTACTACCACGTTCGAGATATCTTTTTCAGGTAGTTCATACACAAACCACGACAGCTTATTGTAGAATACTAATAAGCTTCCGTGTACTACCACGTTCGAGATATCTTTTTCAGGTAGTTCATACACAAACCAAGGCACTGCTTATTGTAGAATACTACCTACACTGGACCATCAAGTTTAATAGTAATTCGAACACCCGCGCTTCCGGTATCGGGTTGTTGAGAGTGTATTCTATATTGACAATAAATGCAGCAGATTGTATGGAGTTTATATCATGGTGAGAAAATAATGTTAATTCTTTTCTGAGAGAAAAGCTTTTGCAACTGAGAGATATATTTAGTTTAGCGTCTAGGAATAGCTGATCAGCATATGTTGCTCTGTGACGCGTATACTGTACGCGAGCGTGACCCACAAATACAATTTACCAAAAAAATACGTCATTGCGCTACACATAAGTACTGCGCATAAATTAATCTAACGAAAACAAACTTTGACGTGCAGGGGAACAGGAAGTACGCTATGGCCTCGCACGAGGAAACACCAGTAACTTTGTTAATATTTGTGTACCACATGTCGTCATGCATATAATATTATGACGTAGAATCCAGGGCATGACGTAACCAAGCCATCTTGGGCGTCATGTTCTTGACGCAGTAACGCACTGTCATGGTATCACTAAATAAACAACTTCGAGTCTGTGAAAACTTCTCATAAACTTGAACGAAACGGTCGTTTAAGCGCATGCTTTGCCGTGGTTTCAAGACAACCATATCATATGGTGGTTATATCGCTATATTATGGCAGCGTTTACACTGTACCGTTTTCGTAGCGTTCTCGTATTGTTCTTAATCCTCAAGGGAACGCAAGACAATAGTCTAGTTCTCTCGAACAATACGAGAACGCTGCGAAAACGGTACAGTGTAAACGCTGCCTATGTTAAGTCCATTCGGATATTGCTCGGATCGAACGAGAAGATCTGGCAAGTCACGCGACCTTGTTAATACTTTTCGAACATTAAGTTAAAACATAGTTGGAACATTTATCAAACCCAATTTTGTTAATCTAAAGCTTGAAATATCCCCTGTAACAATTCGTGAATGCATGCCAGTTCTCATCATCGTTTCGGTCAAGAAGAAAAATATACTCGTGCGAGTGACACATAACGATATCAACAAACAACTTTAAACACAGATATATTTTTCTTTGTCCTCGACGAGGATTGTGCTAATTTCCTGTGCGGTTTTCTCATCAATTAATGAATTTGAGGTTTGTGTACGAACAGACTGTACTACGGATGGGCGAGAGTTGTCTCTCTAGCCACGACGGATGTTTTGAAGAGTGTACAAGGAGGAAATAGTCCCTTATTGACGTAAAAATAACTTGCTCGTTGCAAGAGAGGAAGTTTTCAAGATGGCGGCTACCTTAGAACGAATTAACAACCATACACTTAGAAAAATTCTTAAACCTTTCTCCAGTCCTAACCAGAATATTAGCCTTAAACTAAAATATTGGAAGCCAGTTAGCCAATTACCATAATTTATTTTATATGTGTACTGTATTTGAGTATGTTGACCGCAACGTTTAACCGCAATCAGAGGCAATAACCAATAAGATAACATCCTTTCTCGATAGATATTGTACTGTCATAAGCTAATGCGGTTTGTGCCATGAAAAAGATTAAAATACATTCAGGTTGTTCGTCAGGAAGTTACTAAACACACTACAGTATTCTACGCCAGTGTTTTAATCTTATATATCCAGGCAGTTCAGACCACGACGTTTCAGATATCTTTTTCAGGTAATTCAGACACAAACCACGGCAGTTTAATGTAGAATACTAGGCTACCTACACTGGACCACCATGTTTGATATATCTTTTTCAGGTAGTTCAAGCACAAACCACGACAGCTTATTGTAGAATACTACCTACACTGGACCACCACGTTTGAAATACTTTATTTTAAGTTAGTTTCGGCCTTGATGCCATACACGATGGTTTGTGCTGAATTTAAGAACGCTATCTATAGTTACAAGTTCTTAAGAAGAATGCCACGACCCCGTTATATTTTATTTTCACTCGACTATAATATGAATTCGCCCCAAATAATAGGGCAACGACTACAGGCGTGTTGCATAGCGGTATTAAATAACGCATAGTGTTTCTTTATAAAAATTCTGATTCATTTTATTATTGGAAATGTTTTGTTCATGTTTTACCATAGAATTTCTTATTCAGTAAATGAATAAGTAGATTGACATTGACTTTAGCTTTTCCGAACATTTTCATCACCGCTACACCTTCAAATTGAAGTTGAAGTAAGTCCTAAAATGAGGGAAGAAACTTTATTTATACAGGACAGTTCTATCATTTCAAGTAAACTGTTCTTTTGGGGTCTCCACAGGTAAAAATCTCACAATTTGTCAACAAAATGTGTTCGCAACAGGCTTGTAGCAAGCTTGTCAACAAGTTGTAACAATGCTGTTATTTCACCAAATTGCTACAAGGTTGTCAGGACGATGTAGCAACTGGACAACTTGTAACAAGACTGTTAAGTTCAACAACCTTGTATAGCAAGCTGTCAGCAAGCCGTTGACAGCTTGTCGACAAGCTGGGAACAAGCAGTGCGAACACATCCTGTTGACAAGTTGTTGGGACAGTATCGCTACAAGTCTGCTGCAGGTTTGTAGCAAGCCTATCTAGACCTCGACATGTAGCAAGTTTATCTACACCTAGCTATCTACCTATCTACTCACAATCAAAGAACAAACCTGAAAGACGATTTCGACTTTTTCCATAGGAATTCCCATAAATTTCGCCGAGACTTCAAACACTCCTGAGTCAGCCGGCACGATCTCGAATGATGCATTCTTTAACCTTAGCAGAAGAGAAAAAAATATGAAATAAACTTTGCTATTTTCGAAGCTGCGGGAAATCGAAGGAATTTGTTTTCAGGTTTTCAGACACTAACTACGGCTGTTTAATCAAGTTTAAATGTTTCCACATAGTTTGTGGCACGTACTGGTTCTTGGGTAATCCTTCTATTTCGAGAACAACTCCTTTCTCCGCCAACTTCTGAGCGCTGTACTTGACGGCAGTTTTGAAACCAACTTGTTTCTTCTTCTCTTTACGCTGAGCTCTTTGAAAGAAACACAAATACGTTAACAACAACGACAATCATCATCATCAATACCATTAATATCAACACCATCACCACCATCGCCATCATCACCACCACCGCTACCACTATACCAACAAAACCAGCAACATGGAAACGAACACCGCTACCAGCAACATGGAAAGTTTCTAAACATAAAGTTTTAATACTGTACATACATTGATTCCTTGCCAGCGAGATTATCTAAGCAAGTCTCAATATATCTGTTGTAATAATCCATCTGTTCTTCATAAAACGTCGCTTTTGTTTTAAGTCGTTCTAAAGTAGTTTCCAGTTTCCTTAGTTCCTGTTTGCGCCGTAGTCTGTATCTTCTCTGATTACGTATGTCCTGAGGAACAAAAAAAACAAAAAAAAGTTCATTCATACTGGACAGTCCTATCAGTTCTAAACTGTTCTAGAAGTCCATTAAAGCCATCTCTTATTGATCCAGGGGGAAACGAAAATTTATTTATACTGTATAGCTCTACTACTTCTAAACTGTTCTTCCTAGAGGTATAGTAAGGATCATCTCTTATTGACTCAGTGTTACCACAGGAAGAAACCCAAACTAAACTAACTTCATTTATACTGGGTAGCCTTATCATTCCCAAACTGTTCTCCCTAGAGGTCCAGTAAGGATCATCTCTTATTGATCCAGTGTTACTGCAGGAGTTTATTACTCAAACTAACTTTAAATATACTGGATATCTTTATTAGTCTCATACCCTAGCTATTGCGTTGACGATATCTTGATAGTTATTCTTCGTTGTAACGAGACCCTGGTTCTCCAGTACGCGAAGATTTCGTATTATCTTCCTCTTGATTCCCTCAACTGGTAAACTAGAAGTTTAAAAGCAAAACAAAGATGAGTTATACACGGTTCTCTTCTGAAAAAAACTTGCAGCTAATGTTTGTGGGGTCGTGAACAGACTTCAAAGTATCCAATACTCTTTTCCATGTTTAAAAAATATATATATATATATATATATATATATATATATATATATATATATATATATATATAAAATGGATATTTTACTTTGAATCTCCATGGATGGACGCTGATTTTCTCAGTTTTTCCTCCTTTTTCGAATCTTGTTGCTCTCTTTGTTTCACCCACGTCATGTGTTCTTTTTCCTGAAGAAAACAAATTTTGAGGACAACACTTGATTACTTCGTTTCAAGGGCGGATTTTCATTTTTCTTAAAGGAGGGGTAGAAAAGTGGGGTGCAAGCAGCACCACTGAGTGAGCTTCGGCAGGGGTTAGGCGTTAGGGTTAAAGACTTTCACACTAAATAGGAGGGGTTAAGCAAAATTTTGGTGGGGTTGAACACTTTATAAGAGGGGTTAGAGAGATTCTAGGGGGGTTTAACCCCCCAGTAAATCCGCCCATGCTTCATTTCATACTTTTTTGAGGGAAGAAGGTAAAAAAAAACCATATCTACAAATAGTATTTTTCCAGGTGGCCTTCATTAAGCAAAGTAGAATGTACTGTATGTATGTACGGTACAATACTAATTACAATTATAGTCACAAATACAATTATAATTAGTCTTCTAGGTGTAGGGGATTAATATTTTGTTCAAGATAAAGTAGCTTAAGAGATTTTTTTCAGTGATTTGTTTTGGATATCTTTGGGAGACAGTTAAAAAACATTGCCCCACTACAAGATATCTTTGATTTCCCAGACTCAGAATATTAACTTTGGGAACTTTTTAATCCGTACTTGATGATCTTATTGGGACTTTGTATCTCCAACAAATTCAAAGAGTTTACGAATGTAACCGATATCTCCGTGGCCTAAATCTTCATTTCTTTCAGTTCATTGCGGAATGAAATTACAGCAATGGATAAAATCGTACCTGTTCCTCCGTGGCTGGTGTTTCTAAAATTTCAGTCAAAGTGTCTCCGGCCTGAACTCGAATGACGTCAACAATAAGATGCTTCGTTCTGGAAGGAGAATAATTCGTGAGTATATCGAAATTAAAGAACTTAAAGCCAGAGCGTGCATGAGAGTTGGTAGTCACGTGACCTTGGTTAGCTGTTCTTAATGCTTTCCCAACACTATCATGTATTCTATTGAAGTTAAAACATAGTTGGAACATTCATCAAACCTTTATTTTGTTCATCTAGAGCTTGAAATGTCCCCTGTAACAATGTGTGACTGTCAACCCTTATCAACTCTCATTGCCGTTTGATTGGGGTTGTATTCTTTACGCGACAATCCTACCTTACAAAGAGAGCGCGTAGATCTGAGTCATCGTCATCCGGGACTTCAAATTTGTTGGATAAAGTGAGAGATATTTCAGTTTTTGCTTGATCGCGTAGCGCGTCTTCTTCCGTCTGTCCTTCAGCCACTTCAACATTACCTACATCAAGTATGTGGTTTTATTAGTCGCATGCGATGGAGAGCTTCCAGAACACCGCAGCTTTTCTTTCCGTACACTTGTTTGCTACTGTAATAAACAATGAATCAGAAAGAGATGATCCTTACTGGACCTCTACAGAGAACAGTTTAGAACTGATAGAGCTACCCAGCATAAATAAAGTTAGTTTAGTTTAGGTTTCCTCCTGTAGTAACACTGGATCAATAAGAGATGATCCTTACTGGACCTCTAGGGAGAACAGTTTAGAACTGACAGAGTTATTCAATATAAATTAAGTTAGTTTAGTTTAGTTTAGTTTAGTTTTCCTCCAGTAGTAACACTGGATCAATAAGAGATGATCCTTGCTGGACCTCTACAGAGAACAGTTTAGAACTGATAGAGCTATCCAGCTTAAATAAAGTTAGCTTAGTTTAGGTTTCCTCCTGTAGTAACACTGGACAATCAATAACAGATGATCCTTGCTGGACCTCCAGGAAGAACAGTTTAGAACTGATAGAGCTATCCAGTATAAATAAAGTTAGTTTACTTTTAAAGGCAATTGGAAAATTCAAATATGACAAGAACCTACCCAGAAGTTCTTTAACATCAGGCTGGTCACCAACATCGTCCAATAATTCTTGAAGAGGGTCATTCATATCTGGTGCAATGGTATTACGATGGTCTAACAACAGTTTATGAGTATCACAGATCTCTCTAATTGAGATATAGATGACTGGCTTCGTCAACATGACTACGTCACTGTATTCATCAATATTGAATTTACTTTCGGGTTGCTCAACACTTGACGCGGCCATGAAAAATTTCCTGCGAGGGAAGAAAGTACAATATGTTACAAAACAGAAATATGTATGCATGACTGTAAAATGTTTCACCAAAGCACTAGTTGGTGACCAATCAGCAGCTTTCTGAGAGAGGAAATAATGTTAATCTTCTGACCCTAAAACCATCTACACTTACAAGAATTTTTGATGAGCTTTCTCTAGGTACGGATTAAGCGCATTCAAATGAGCACTTTCGCCACCAAACTAAGAAGAAATGAAAACTCATTTAGAAATATCTATTAGATGAAATGACAAAAACACAATTATATAAAGAATGGCAATAAAGTTTCGATATTCATTGCTTTATACAAGTACCTTCTTATTCGAAGCCGCATCTTGAAGTAATTTGGATATAGAACCAAGATTTCGTCTCTGCAAGAAAGCAAAAAGAACGTAAGTATGTTGAATTATGATTACAACTCTTCCTGTAATTAAACTGGGTCAACAACAGATGACCCTTGTGCTCGTCTTCAAGGAAGAACAGTTTAGAACTGATAGAACTATCCGGTATAAATAAAGTTGATCATAGGCGTACCGGGCGGGGGGGGGGGGCGGTAGCCCCCCAGTTTTTTGGGCAGTCGGGCAATATTCGGGGAGGTCGCCAAAATAATTTTTCCGGAAAAAAGTTTTTGGTACTAGTCAGGCAGAATCCCGAAAAGTCGGGCAATTTTCTTTCCGCCCCCCTAATTTTTTCCTTCCGGTACGCCCATGAAGTTGATTTAGTTTAGGTTTCCTCCTGTAGTAACACTGGATCTAAGACGTAAATCTGCTTGCAAGTCCTCACATGTAATAATAAGTCTTAACTTGAAAATCTTCAAGTGTTAGGCGTTTCAGCCTGAAAATTCTCAAGTGTAACAAGTTTCAGCATAGAAATGCTCAAGTGTAAAAAGTGTCAGCATGGAAATCCTCAAGTGTAAGAAGTTTCAGCCAGGAAATAGATAGAGCTATCCAGTGTAAGCAAAGTTAGTTTAGTTTAGTTTTCTTCCTCTAGTAACACTGGGTCAATAAGGGATGAACGTTACTGGACCTCTAGGAGGAACAGATTAGAACTGGTAAGAGCTATCCTGCAGTATAAAACAGTTAGTTTACTTTAATAAGAGCACAATAACTGTACCTGTTCAACACTTAAACCTTTGTCAACAGTAACATCAACAATATCAAACGCATCGGGCGCAACAATGGCCGGATTCATATAACGATAATATATCAGATTGCCAACAACCTGGACACAAATATAAATTTAAAGATTAAAACCCATCAGGAATTCGTGGTGTGTTTTACAAATTTTCTTTCCTTACTCGTAATATTTCGTCTTTTCCAGCTTTGGGGAATTTCTCTGCCATACAGGTTCGGAGAGTCATCGCCAAATATCGAATACCATATCTGAAGAATTAGAATTTCGTGTATTAATGACAAAGCAGTACGACAATTTAGAACTGATAAGCTACCAGTATAAATAAAGTACATCTAGTTCAGGTTAATTAATTTAGTTTAGTTTTTGGTTTAGTTTTTAGTTTAGTTTATAGTTTGAAGTTTAGTTTATAGTTTGTAGTTTAGTTTATAGTTTATAGTTTAGTTATCGTTGAGTTTATATAGTTACAAACAAATCCTTACGGTATTTTGTCAACACTGGCAGTAATACTCTGTAGAAATCTGTCAGTAGCCGCGGTCAATCTGCTTATGGCTGCCTCGACTTTACTTCGGACTTCGGGATGTTCCAAAGCTTTCTCTGGGTCAACATCGTAAGGAAGTTTCCTGGAAAAGATTAAACAATGAGACCGAATTTACACTAGAGATACTGTTCGTCTCCACTGATCACCGGTCTGTTTGCTGTGTGCATTTACAGGCAAATTATTAGACTAACTATTGCACTTTGCCCAAGTTCATACAAGCATGCAGATAATTCTTCTTTAGTATAAACCTCGTCACTAATAAATTCAGGAAGGGGAGTTTGTGTATGCTCATTGAACTTTGGTAATGGTTCGGGGGGGGGGGCCTTTGACCATCAAAGCCTCTATCATGTTGCTATCACATGTTATTTCTATTTTATGTTTGTTTTTATTTTTGCCTTTCCAAATCTAAAAATGGATTTGATAAGAAAATTGGCACCTCCTTTGAATCCCCTTTTCAAAACTAGTAGGGATGTATACCTCCCTTCACCCCCCCCCCCCCAGTAAATTCCATTGCTACAAGTCCAAAGGATATTCCAGCTCACTTACGTTGCTTGTCCAGTTTCAGACTCCTGTTGATTGATCCAGTTTTTATAAATTTCCACTGGATTCGTTGACGTATTCAAAGTTGAATCATCTAAGACTGTCTGAACCAGAGGCTGAAGTAATTCCCTCAACGAACCTTGATTACGTGTTCCTCTGAAAACAAGAAGGAAAAAGTTTCTTATTAAAACAGTTTCACACAAAATTGTGATGCAAATATCTAACTCAAACTCGAGAATTCATGTGCAAATCACAAGGAAATCAGCATCCTATCGTTGTCTCAACACTACGGTAGCAAAAGTCAATGAATTAACTCAATTTCTGCGTTGAATTTTTCTTTAAATTTGTTTTTCTAACCTGTTAAATCCAACGACCATTTTTATTACTGTTGGGTTTCCTGTTACTATCTCTTGAATGCTGTCGATCTTTGAACTAGCAATGAAACATTAATATTACTTTAGTAAGAAGAGATGGTGGACTAAGTCTGTTTCAGGTAAGATTAAGTAGAGGCTTTTTAGTGTGAATATGTGAAACATTGCAGCTTTCCTTCTGTAGTAACAGTGGGCAAATAAAAACTGCCCGAACTGATAGAGCTATCCAGTATAAATAAAGTTAGTTTAGTTTAGGTTTCCTTGTGTAGTAACACTGGACCAATACCAGATGTTCTTTACTGAGCTTCTAGGAGATCAGTTTAGAACTGATGGAGCTATCCAGTATAAATAAAGTTAGTTTAAAATTAGGTTTTCCCTGTAGTAACACTGGATCAATGCGAGATATCTCTTACTAGACCTCTAGGGGGAACAGTTTAGAACTGGTAAAGCTATCCAGTATAAATAAAGTTAGTTTAGTTTAAAACTAAGTTGAACATACAAGATTTCTTCCCGTAACGCGGTCTCAAACAGCTTGAGGAGTAGATATTCCTCTCGAGTATTCGAAGCATAATTATACAAGGTCAGAATCACAGATTCCATAAAGTTCGTCGATCTACTCTGAGGCATTTCGAAGATGAGTTTTGCTAAGTACACAGGGTTAGTTTGAAGAAGATAGAAAAGATTTTGATAAGCTTCGAGTTTCTCTTGGCTTTCTTTGCTCAACGACCGTATTCCTTTTGTGTTCGAAGAAGCGAGAGTCTGAAGATCTTCTTGGTCTTTTCTGCTCAACTTTTTGTTGTGGATTATAACATCCTGAAAAAAAAAAGCAAAATTGGAAGAGATTAAGATTATGAAATTGATTCTAAAATAATGTTTGGCTGCTAGAGGTATATATATAAGCCTTTGCACCACGTTACAAATAGGAATAATGAAAATACAGTGGAACATTCCGATCAAAGAATCGTAACTGAAAGGCACTGTTGTTTATTGATGCTTGTGATGTTACTCTGAGTGTATATCCACACCGGACAGGCTTGAAAAATATACCTGACCACGGTGGGAATCGAACCTACGACCTTCGTAGGTTCGATTCCCACCGTGGTCAGGTATATTTTTCAAGCTTGCCCGGTGTGGATATATACTCAGAGTAACATCACAAGCATCATATTCACCTGAGTGCATTACACCCGAGTACATTATCGAGTTGCTCACTCATTGGTGAACGGATTTCCCAACATTCTATTGCTCAATTAATAGGGGATCCGAGGTACCTACGATTTAACGTCCTTATCCGAGAAGACGCGAAAGTCTAACCACTTACTGATGTCAATGTAAAGGTAGCTCTTTCTCCTCAATTATTTTAAGACTTTGAGTAGAGGTCTGACCAAGGATTGAACTCAGGTCTCCCAGCTTGAAAGTCAAGCGTGGTGACGATGACACTACAAGTACTACAAGTGCTGGTCCCTTCAAAGAGTCCATTCGGGCCTGATATGAGATCAGTGGCATGCCAACCCACCTGTAAAGTAATTTTATTCCTGACTAACAATCCAATCTTGATGTCCATGCCTTGTAGATCGTGTTCAAGTTGCTGATTTGAACGAATTTCTGTGACGACTTGTGCTTTGAGCTTCTGTAGTTCTAAAACACAATAGGAATATCATGCGGCAGATGGTGGTCAAACGCCAGTTATCGGGACGAGAAAATAAAAGAAGATTAACAAGGAAAGATGGGGATTTCAAAATACACCAGTGGATGGCACGAGGTTTACCGTCGGTTATTTTGTTTAGTACTTGAAATATCAATTCTGCTCTCCTTCCTCCACTCAAAGCTTTCAAACAAAGTTATTTTTCCTCAACCTGGTCTACTTTATAGCCTGGTTATTTTCGAAAACGACGTACTATTTCGTAAAACCGATTTAGTTATTTGCCATCTTAAATCTTGAAGTTATCTTGTTGAAGAATAAAAGTAGTGATACATTATAATTTGGTTCCAGAGCTAAGTTGTGTTGTTATCTAATCAATATACACTTATGTCTAGTTAATTTGGGTGACTTAAGACTCCCCAGACCGCTCCCCTCAGCCATCTACTCAGAATTCTGAAAGCCCTGGAAAGATGAACAAACAAAGAACATGAGCCTGCTTACCTAATTCTTCTTCAAAGTCAACATTACTTTGATCCAGAAGATGAAGAAACTTCCGAACAATCTTTATTGGAGGATCTTGAGAATTTACTGAGAAATGAAACCCAACGTTAAACTGATAAACTACTTTTGTAAAGACACTTA